GACACGTTTCAATACCTGCATCGCCTGTAATGGACTTAATTTCTAAGCTCCTGAACCCTGGACAGGGCAGGATCTCATCAGGAAGCTTGTGCAATTTTCTGGAAGCTTCGTGCTGAGTTTGGGCACTTGGTTTCCAACTCCTGCTTCTGCAGAGGGAGGGCGATCAGCCTCCCCCTCCCCCACCCCGCCCACACTCTGCCCCTGAATGCAGCAGCAAACCCCAGGAGCCAGACCTGCAGGTTAATTCAATGTTAAGTGCTCAAATTTGCTTTTTAAATTCCAAATGTTTAGCCTATGTAATTTAACAAAGTAGGTAGCCTCTCTATAGTGGATTTTATTTACTTATTTATTTATTTGTTTTGTTATTAATCCTCACTCCATAATATTTTTCCATTGGTTTTTAGGGAGAGTGGAAGAGAGAGGGAAAGACAGAGAGAAACATTAATGTGAGAGAAACACATAGATCGGTTGCCTCCTGTATGGCCCCAACCAAGGCCCGGACCAGGGAGGAGCCTGCAACCAAGGCACGTGCCCTTGGCTGGAATAGAACCCAGGGCCCTTTGGTTCGACGCTCTATCCACTGAGCCACTCAGCTAGGGCTGTTTATTTCTTAATGTAGTTGTTTTAAAGTTGTTGACTTCCTCTTGTGGCCATAACACCTTCCTTCTGGTCCAGAGTGGACACACCAATTGACCTTTATTCCATTTACAATTTCTGAAATTTATCTCATGATCATTTCTGTCTCTTCTTTCTGTGTGCTGAAGACTAACTTGTTTTTATCTGCATATACATCCCCAAAGTATTTAGCTGTTGTCTTTGTTGACACTGACAATTTGTTTGGTGGCTTTGCATCATTTAAGCTTTTCAAAGATGCTCAGCTTCGGGCTTGAAGAAAACATTTCGTGTTTAGCATTGAAAAGGGTGAAGACTGAGGGACTAGAGTAAGGGGAAGGGCATAATTACATGTTCTTTCAATTGGTCCCTGAAAAATATTTCATGAAACCTGATATTTGTAAGAGCCATTGTAACTAAATTAAATGATTAACCATAAATAAAGATTCCTTACATGTGGCATTTGCCAGGAGTTGGGCATCTAAATACCCTTCCTCAGAAGAACCAGCCTCCTTGGGAAACTCTTCTCTGTGGCTGGCAGCCTCCTGGCATTGTTTCAGGAGGGGCCAGGGCACTGCTTGCTGGCCATGCCTACTTTGCTTCCAGCTGGGGTTTGAAAATGATCCTTGAGAACCTAGTATCCTACAAGGTCTCTTCACTTCAAGCGTGATCTTCACAGAAAATGCTATTTTAGGGATCAGCTATTATTCCTCTTCTGGTTTTAATTTACATAATATTTATTCATCCTTTATTTATACCCAGTGATCTTACACAGCATTTGAACTAATCCTCTGAGCTGCCCTGCAAGTAGAGAAAATGATCCCCTCCCCATTTCATACATTAAAAAATAATAACTGTTTCCAGGAAGGTGACTGTCTTGTCCAAAGTCATCCTGGCACAGATTCTTTCAGCTAAGGTTTGCAAAGCCTCCTACCGGCCTGAGGAACCAAAAGTGAGCCTGCGTGGTCATGCAGCCACACTGAATAGTTAAGCAGCAGCAACCCATCACTTCACCTTTACAGCACAAGGAAGGATTTGCCTAATCATGGGAGTGGCCTGAGCGTAGAGGCCAGATGGGAGAGATGCAACCCAGATGCTTTCTTCACTTCCAGTAGAATCAGGGTTACTGTATAGATGCAGTTAAAGAATCAGTTCATTGTTGATGGCTTTTGTCCCACATTTCTCCAATGTAAGGAGTAAAATGCTAAAGTCGGAATAAAGTTATTCCTACACTAAGACTTCTGTCTCCCTAGAGTAGAGCTTTGAGAGCTTCAACTGTTTCTTAAGTGGTACACAGATGTGAATCACTCTTCTCTTGCTCTGAACAGAGCCTGAGAGCCCTCCTGTAGAGCTACCATGAAACTGATATTGGCCCACCTGCCAAATCTCCAATGTGTCCTGGATCTGTATGAGGAAAGTAATGCTAGTTTTAATCTCCATCATGCTGGATTACATTAACTCCTTGGCCGGAATAGCTCAGTCATTTCTCATTGACCAAAGTTACCTTGGCAGTAAACTGCCATATTATATAATACCAGGGCTCATTTACCTTGAGGCTGTATAGAAAATGAGGCCATAGGAAAGAAAATCTTGAGGCCTAGGAATGTTTGGTTCTCTGTTGCTATCTCAAGGTATTGTGATATGCAGGAGTGTAAAAAGACAGAACGGCGATGACTTGTGTATCAACTGGAAAAGGCCTTCTGGCTGCTCATCAGCTGTCCATTCTAACTCCAGATGTAGGGATTCTATTAATACAATAACTCAGAATGCAAATAGAAGAGTCTTAGGAGTCATCAATTTCAACCTCCTTTAACTTTGTAGGTGGGAGAACCAAGACCAGGAAAAGGCTGTCACTCTAGAGCTAGAATGGCAGAGTCACATGAGAAATTAGACTTCCAGATCCCCAGTCCATTGCTCCTCTCACCACATGATGTTCTGACACCTGGAAAAAAAATACAAAAGGATTGTTTTCCATAGAGAGGAAGTAGAGTTGTAATAATCAAGGACTCAGATTCTGTCCACAGAGTGACTCAGTTCTAATCCAATGACACTGCTCTTCATTTTCCCCATTAATATAATGGGAATGTCAATGGTACATATAGTTCGAGGGGTTTTGTAAAGATTAAATGGGCTGATGTATGTTTACCATTTAGGATCATACTTGTCACCATAGTGATTCAAAGCAAACTGAACACCCTTTATATCCATTAAGTCACCTTCATGGCTTCCACTCTTTCGAACACTCATCTAAAGCTGAACTGTGGCTGTAACCCCTGCATGATCAGCACTGAACATCGATGGCAACCTATATCCCAGGAGAGACACTCGTTACTCTTTATGATCCACCTTTTCTCTCTATACTTCACTTTTTTACGCTTTGCTTTCTTATATACTTAACTTCTCTGTTTAGCAATATACAACCTTGTGTTATATCATGACATCGCCAAAATTCTAAAGTCCACTGTAGAAGTTGGATAAAAGTTATTCCTACACTAAAACGTCTGTCTCTCTAAAGTAGAACTTTTAGAGCTTCAACTGTTTCTTAAGTTAATATCAACACAATGAATTAGCTAAAGGCACAGGTGTACAGAACAGTGTTTAGACATTTAAAGAAACATATAGGTTTTATAAATCTACATTGCTCATTTTCTTATAAACGCATTTTAAAAATCTAAATCATTCTTTTTTTTCCCCCCCAGAAGACAATTTAGAAAATTACCTTCAACTTTAACTTGGACGTTTTCCAACTCAGTAGGCCAGTACACTTCCTCAGGGTATATATCTGGACTGATGAAGGCCCCAGAGTCAGTCTACTTTCCATAAATATTTATAGATCCTCCGTTGAGATTGTAGCCCTGAGCTAGAGACATTAGCCTGCCCTTGTCTACGGATACTCTGTTTAAAAAAAACTGCAGAGAAATATGAGCCAGACTCTCAAGATATCATATAAAAATGAATTTTTAGTCAATAATAGAATTATGTACATTGTAAATCAGAGGAAGAAAAGTTATCCATGCTGAAATCCATGCAGTTGGAACAGTTGAATGCTCTCTGCTGAAGTGAGAGACCTATATTTTCTCCAGCAAAGGTCAGCATCAGTCCCTCCCCAGGAAAGCACAGATCCACACCATTAGGTTGACAAACAAGCCAAATGATTGGGCCCACTCTGAGCAGCCCCTGCTCCATCTCTGCATTTTAAAGTAGCCATGCTCATTTCCAATAACCCAATTTACTTCTAAAAAGGCAGTGTAGTTCTGCCTGGAAAAGGAAGGGGAGGCATGCTTGTCTTACTTGCAACTCCTTCCCTTTGTCACAGGTTTTATAGGAATGTCTATTGATGGCTTCTAATCCCTTGGCTTGTACTTGCTTTTGCTTTCCCTGGAATACTCTCTACTTGCTAGCTAGCTGTCTTAATTAGGATCCTAACTTCCTATAGTTTTCCAATAAAGGTGATGGAGGAGCACAGAGGCAGTTAGCCACAGACACATCTGCCCTGGGCCCTTTGAATAGGCTAGGATAATTCCATTCCTGGCCTTTCTTCTCAAGGACAACAGATTAAAGGACATGGATAGCACTTGTGACTCCATGGTCTTGTTCAGTGGAATGTGAACAACTCAGGAGGGCTGTGTAAAGGGTCAGAAGAAGGGAAAAAAGAACTGGCAGATAGAACTGCTTCAGGCTGCATCATTAGCAGACAGTTACGACTTGACAGGTTAAGTCTTCTTTGTTCCTTTTAAAGAGGCACCATGGACTGCTGGGATACACCCAATCCTTACCTTTAAAACTCTTGAATATTCTTACTCAACTACTTCAGGAGGAACCTCCACAATACCAAGTTACAGGGGAAGAGATGTTGGCCACATCAACACCTACATATTTGTTGCTCACAAATGTTTCTGTTCCTCCCAACCCTTCCCCTCCAATTTCTCTCTACTCGGGACTCTTTCCTGCACCCCATGGCTCTCTCCTGCATACCTGTCTGACTAGGATTCTATCTCCAAAGACAGAACACAATTAGTGGTAATATTGAGGAAATGGCCATCAGGTCCTGTCATACCATTTAGCCCTGTCTGCAGCCTTAACTTTGTAGCCCATAGGCCTAACTTACTGTCATTATCTCCCTCTACCCCCACTCCCCCCACTTTTTTTTTTTTAATTACAACCTTTCAGAGCAGGTTATAGCGGTCAAGGCATCCCACTAATTTGGCCCTTTGAGTTTCTAAATACTCCCCATGGCACTTTCTATTTGTCCAGACTTAGAAGGGTCAGTGGTGGAAGTGAGAGGTGGGGGAATGCTCACAGAGAAGCATGTCTATATATTTGCACAGCAATAAGTATGGTACCTTTGGGTGCATGCTAATGGCTCTGTCTCTCTCTCCCCTACACAGGGCCTGGAGCAGTCATTGATGGTGTAAACTCGGCCTCTAGAGCGCTGGCTTGTCTCTGGCTGTCAGGGACCCTCTTTGCCCACTTCTTCATCAAGTTTTGATAAGAAACCATAGGTTCTCTGAGCAACGCCTGCTTCTCCATATCACAGACTTTAATCTACACTGCGGAGGGCAAACCAGTTTGGGCTTCTTCTTGTTTTTCTTTGTGTCTTTGTTTCTGATATTCTTCCTTGATTTTTCTTTTAAATTTTTATTCTTCAGCTTTGTTTGTTTATTTGACTTTTTTTTTTCCAGTTTCAACGAGTGGGGTTGGGGGAGGGGAGGGCAGGGTTCTACCATGTTTAGGCTAATCATTCATTGGTGTGTCCAAAAGTGGAATCTGTTCTTGCTCCCTGGGCTCTTCACTTCCGTCTGCTTCCCTCCCCATCATCATCGCCACCACCAACCTCTCCTGTCCCACATACCAAAACATGAGCTCCATTTGGGCAAAACTGTGCCTCGTGATAAACACCATGAAGACACAACTTGACTTATAATGTAGTGCACAGCAAGAATTGTATTCAAGTGTCCTATTATCTGTGTCTTTTAAGCTTTGGACCGTTTTCCTGATTACAATGTACATATCCCTCTCTCCATGTTTATTATTATCTAAATACATTAGGGTTCACATGCTTTCTTTCTGGGAAGTTATCTCAAGATACCCATATCTATATATACATATATGTATAAAATCTTGCAACTTCTCTAGGTACTCTGCTCTATATGCATTTCTCACCAACTACAGGGATTAGAGCTTTGAAGCTATTCACACTACCCCATACTAAAAATTTAGAAGTCAAATGACCAAAAAGGGGGTAGGCATTTTGAGGATAGTATTTCCCTTAAAAAATGCTGTTCAGCTCATACAAAATGATTCATAGATGGCTGATTGTTTAGGTTTATCAAGCTATCTATCAAAGTAATCATACAGTTATCCATCTACTCAATTGTCTGATTTTCCTCTCCATTCAATTATCTATCCACCCATCTTTCTCTCTAGTAACCTATTTATTCTATTTGTCAATCCATCAATGTAATTTTCTAACACTTCTTTCTATTTCTTTCCTCACTGCTCACGCTCAATTCATCACCTCATTAATGTCTAACCATATTGTGTCTTTTCAACTGTATTCATTTCTCCTCTACCTTCAGCAAACATTGGCATCTTCAAAATTACCTATCAGCTTCTTATGTGAAAGCCAATGATCTCACAGGCTAACAACATAGAAAAGCAATATGTCATGGACTTTTTGGAATGTGATATCCCATCCACCCAACATAGATGCTGTTAATGGATGGACCAAAGTAGAATTCTAATGATCATTTACTCGCTATTCCCAGAAGAGACTGCATTTCCACAACCACCTTCTTGGGAAGTCAGCTGACCCTGGAGAAGCCTTGATTGCTGCGTATTTTTCTTTTTTTCCACTTTTGGGGCCAAGATGCCAACCTTCCTGCTTCTCTCCTCCTTTCAAGTGTGTGTATGTCAGGAATCTATAGGATTTACCCCAGGGCTGGCTTCTCTTAATAACAAGAGCAAAGAAGAAAACAAACACACCTGACTGTGGAACATAAAGAGAGCAGTCCACCTGTCTGAGTGCTATGACTTCAGCCACTGTCTTCTCTCTGCTCCAGTTTTAGTTGAATATGTTTGAAAACTACCCAGTAAAAAGCCAGTGAGGCCAATTACATGGTGGGTGTGTTGACAACTCTGATGTTTGTATCAGAAAGCTCTTCTGGGCTGAGGAGGGCACTTGAGCAATCGACTTAATTTCCAAGCACGTGATTAACACAACACTGCAAACAGAGGGGGAAAATGGAAGTGACTCACAATTTCCTCTGCTATAGGTTTTGCTCCACCAGCTCCGGAGATGAATGTCCTCAGCTCTTCAGCTCAAAGCAGCCCTAGCATATAAACAGGAGCTGATCTGACCTTTCTACATTATCTCCTGGGACAAGTGAGGGTGCTGTGATCTAGGAGAATGGCATTGAAAACCACACAACGCTGTGTTTCCCTTCATCTCTGCTGCAGGGACTTTTTTATGGAGAGGGTGAAAAAGAAGCATCCACAATGACTATCTCACACACCTACCCTGACTCAACTGGGAACCTCTTTCAGCAAAATAATAAATATGTGTGTGGCCACGTGCATATATAAAATACAAACCTTTTTGCCTTGGCATACAAAAACTTAGGCACTTATTAAGAGTTAGAGCTGGTGCGAGTGAAATTAATATTACATTTGCCAGCTGTAAACAGACATCTGCATTTCCTAGTGAGCCACCAGGAGCCAGATTCTGGGAACATAAATGATGTGCCAAAAGCAGTGTATTGATTCCAAGTTCCAGGGACAATCATGAGCAGACATAAAGTCATAATTAAAAGTCCTACAGCAGTGTTTCAGATCTGTCACCACACTGAGCACCTGGACTCGGGTTGGTGTCAGACATTGGATGAGAATTAAATGTGTCATTGGAGTGGTCTACTGACCATCAGTTTGATACTTGGGAACAAAATAAATGTGGAGGCTGTGGAGAGTTGGTGGTTTTGAAGAACAGGTCTTGAAACAGACAAGCTGTACATAATCTTCAGTCCAAGATGCATCCTAGAGGAAGGGGCCCACCCTCCTTAGGCCATGAAGACCACCAAAACCTTCTGAACAGGGCAAAGCTGGGCCTCAGAGTCACGAAGAAACTTCACATTACCCTCTTCCTCTGGACACCAGGAAGCACCTCTGATAGTTGCCTGTTCCAGCCACACTTCAGAGCGGGAACAGCCTACAGCCAATCCTCATCTATCTGGGATTTAAAAACAAAAAGTAAATAAGACCCCAGGAAACTTGGCACTGGGAAAGAAAATTGCTCTTCCTCACAACAGATGTCCCCCAGATTCTGTTTGGGTTACTTTGGTGGGGATGGCTTTATATGACAGTAGGTCTTTCCCAACAGTTTGAAGCATACTGGACAGCAAATGCTCAGTAAAGACCATATCCACAGGTGCACGTGATCTTTCAACTTTATATATGGAGGGTAGATGGATAAGGCCTGCTGAATATATATTTTTTCAAGGTGTCCATGGTGGGGATGGGGAAGGGGTAAAGGAGGAAAAGCAAACAAGTCTCTGAGCAGCCTATGGTTCTTTGCAGGTTTTCCCTGGGAAGTAATGCTTATCCGGAGAGTAGTTGAGAGGAATTCAGCAATGCATTTACTCTTAAACCATGCCCCTTTCCCCAGACACAGTTGAAATGGACTTCCACCAAAGTAATGGCAATGAAAGTGCTAGTGTTAAGATTCTGGTTAAGCCTGTTTTCTCAGAAGTTTAATGTCAAGTGCCTGATATAGTCATCTGCAAGTCTAAGCAAGTGCTTTTAGTTTTTCTCATTCGTGCTTTAACTGGGGGAGAGGAAACATACAGGAGAATGGTGGTGAACCATGAAATGCTTTATGCAAGGAGTGCACTGTGCATGATTGTTCTTCTGCAATTGTGCTCAGCTAAATAGAAGGAAAGGTAAGGCTTTGTATGAAAAAGGTCTGGGCCTCTTTCCTTTGAAACCAGTTCCTCATCCTAGATGGTATGTTTCCAAGATTGGGCAGTGAGTTCTCAAGACCTGGGTGAAAAGTGTGCTCTGGGACCCTAGAAACTCTATAACCAAGGATGAAGTTAAGGATCTGTTTCTGCATCAACCCAGTTGCCTTGCACTCAACATGGAAGAATTAGCAAGTTCTACTTATGACAAAAGAACTCTTTCCTGAAAAGTGTAGAGAACCTCAAGGTGGGCAGTGGATCCGAAGAGAGTGTATCGCTGTCACTGCATCAGGAGTGGCTGTGAATTGAATAACCTGGTTTTGGTTGGTGCTTTTAACCCCACTAAGCTTGTCTTCTCTGTAGTGGTGTATGAGTGGCATCAGCCCATCAGTAGAAGGATGTGAGAAATGGCTCAAGATGTGGAGAGATATGGGGTGAGGAAATCCTTCCCAATTTCACTCTGTCTTAACCAGAGGAACAGTGGCTTTGCAGTACCTGAAACCAGTCCTCCATTCTCCCCTCCCCCAAAGAAAACGACCCACAAATTTTTATTTTTTTAAAGAGAAAAGTTTAATCTCTTTAGAAATAGGAAAAATGTTTCTTCCTGAAAAAATACATTTAAAAATTTTTTTGTCCAATAAGGAGAATCTTCATTTTGCACAAGACCTATATCTAGAAATGCTTATACCCACTTGCCTCCCCGTGGTACTATCCAAAGTTTCCCTGTGTCTTTCTTTTAAGACAAATATGTTTGAGCAGTTGCAATAAAACTTCACAGGTGTGTAACTAGGAAGGCATCATTTTCAAAAAATATACCATATGATGAGAATGCCTAATGATCACTAAAAGTAAACAAATAAAAAATGCCAGTCTCATTTCCCTCATTTCTTACTTAAGAGAAGAGAAGTAAATGAAAGGGGGGAAAAAAAGATTTGCAATTAAAAAAAAATGGCAAAAAGAGCTGAACGAGTGCAATTTAGCCTTCAGGTGCAGAATTCTGGAAGTCCAAAGGAATGTGGAGTGGACTCAATTAGGCCCAATTGTCTTCAACTTGGAAGTAGTCAGCCAAACCTAATTTCCCGCATTTTGAGAGATTCCTTTTTTGTGTCTTTCAAATGTGCCCTTTGGAAGGCACACAGTTGTTCCACATACTGAGTGTAGGAAGAAAGATTGTGAACCTTCCTATTCTTTCTTGGCCACACTCTCTGCTGCTGGCAGATCTATAAGGACATCGATAATAGCAATGATAAGTAATAATAGCTGCCCTCGTGTTAGTTAGAGGGAGCGTTTTTAATCCTTCAAAAACTTTTGTGACATGTACAGTGCAATTGTGCGGAATGTGTGCGTGTACAAAAATGTTTCTGTCGAGTTCAGAGTCCCCTAGATTAAAAAGAAAAATTATGACTTATCAATAGTGCCGTTATAGCGATGTCAGACAATGGGTGTGCCCATTATCACGATTATCCTTAAAGCAAATCTATGTTCAAATGCTTTAAAAGTTTATGACATGATACAAGAGTATAACTTTGTCAGCTTT